GGAGGCCCCAAAGTACTATTGTACTGCTGTCCACAGTGGGACAAGGAAACTGTGAGCCTCCTGCAATCACAGTTTCCTCAAAGCTGAAGATAAACGATGACTTCTACATTAAATGCTTTTATATTTATGTATACATATTATACATAATAAATTCTACCAGTAAAAACATAATTTCTGAAGAAAAATTACTTTTGTCAGAACACACTTACAATTTGTGTTTACTGGGGCAGTTAAGACTCATGCTGGATCTGCAGAGTAAGACATAGACCAGCTCATAGTATAGGAATACTTCAAGGTCATATTTCTGGACTGTTTTTAGGAAACAGATTCTCCATCAGAATTTCAGGAAGTTATAAATAAAATACTGAGTCAAGCAGTGCTGACATTTTTATATGGAGCTACATTTTTTGAGGAATTGGTAAAGAAGGCTGTTAACAATGTCTTAAGAGTTAAAGAGTTATGACTAAAAAGAAAGCAAAGAAAATTAGCAAAGTTGGGGAAAGCAGGTAAGTAATTATCTGAACTTTTGAAGACAGCTCTGGCAGTCAAGTCCATGGTGTTTTGTACTTACAGCGCAGAACTGATTTTACCCCTGGAAGAGGCATGTGTCCTTCTTTCTGCAAATCCAGGTTTCAATAGTAGGCATGCCTACAACCTATGCATCCAATTAAGGTCACTATTACTAAGCCTTTTAAGTAAAAGGCTCTGTCTTTTCCATCACTGCTCAATTTTGAAATTCTTGCCATGTTTGAAAACCTCACTATACTTGCTGGGACTGGAACAGATTAGTAAAGACAGGAAAATGTGAGAAATCACTACACTGAAGTATAAATGGAGGTGACACAAACTGAGGCTCTTGTTCCCGTGGGGACAATCATCACAGTTTTTGTGCCAAAACCTTTTCAACATCCACAGTCAGGAAATTATTTTTCATATACAATTTGCTTATAAATCTTCATTTGAGATATCTTCAATGTACACCTGGGGCAAATCATAATATGGTATACTCCCAAAGAGAATGCCTGATGAATTAAGCATCCTTGCATCAGGACAATGTCAGCACATGCATGTGTCAACTCCAAAATAACATAATACATCAAATATTGATTCATAAACCTAGTATAGCTTCAGAAATGGTTTTGATTAAAGCTTCTTTATTGAGTACTTATAAAGGTGTCTGGAATCATATTTGTAATTAGAATGTATTCTAGTAGCATCTTTTAAAAATTTAAGCACCTTTCACAGAAAGAATCAAATTAATTCTGTGGGTTTATATTACAAATAGAAAAGCAGGCATTGCCTTTCATTTTCTGGTGAAGCTAAAATGATCCTGAAGTTGACATATGAACTCAACACCACATGACAGTGGAGAAATTGATTTGTTGTGCACGTTTTCCATTTTTTCACATTCTGTGCAAAACTCTTAAATGATAGCTGGGAAAATAAGTGTTCTGATTATAAATCAGAAGTGTCACAAATATGCAGAATCCTTAGTTTATTCTATACCTTTAATGTGACTGTGTGTGTGCATAACCTGTGGGATAATTACAGTCATGACATTACTCTGAGAGTTGATTTTAGGAGACAGACAGTAGTTAGTGTGATTGGCACTTGTGTCATTCTTTTGGAGTGTATATAATTGATGTGAGATAAAATTGGTAATATTCCTGGCAAGGTAGGATCACAACATGGTTCATGGTTAACCTGAGTATTGTGACACTCAGCAGCACACATTGGGTGCCAGCCACTGAAGTACATAATAGAACTACTGAGGTGAGTTTATGACTTTCTAATTGTCTAGAATGATTTAGGAGAAATATACAAACAGACTTGGATAACGTAATGTGGGAAATATAATGATCGAAACATTGGTAGTTTTGGATTTTGGTTTTTGAGAGCAAAGAGTAAGGGTACAAAGGAGGAAATGCTTCTTGGAGGCGTAATAGCTAAGCTGTAGAGTAAGAGACAAGTGATGCGAAGGAAGAATACACTAAAAGTAGGAGAGACTGACAGGCAGTGTTAATGCACTGCACTTTAGGCTTAAGGTGTCGGTGTGATTATACAGCATACTATTTGCCCTCTGTTGATGGAGCGTACATCTGATCAGTCAACATTTTCATCACTTTACCCAAGGTTTTCTAGAGTGAGATTACTAACTAGAGATGTATTCCCTCAGATTTTGCATATACATTATTAAAAGTATGGAAAATAGACATGTAAACAGATACAAACTAGCTAAATGGCATTGGAGTATATGTTACTTTGTAAATGCAATCAGAGACCATGGAACTTACAGCATAGAATAATTAGTTTAGTTACAATTAAATTAACAGGAAATACCAGAACAGTATTATTGAATCACAAGGAAATTGTTGGTTGTGATTTATTTTCAAAATACTTCCCATCGTATTTCTCTATGTAGTGAAAAATATTGTAGTATTGAACATCATGAAGAGATGAAAGTATTAAAGTAAGTTCAATTTTCTTTTAATCTTGGTAGAATCTAGGATTAGTTGATAGGATAAAGATAAATTATGAGAATAAATCAGTAAAAACACTTTTAATATTCTCTTTAAAGTACTTGCCTATGGTTTAATATACAGTATTTGAAGTAGGACAGGTTACAAAGGATGGAAATAATTATTAAAGTATCTATGTAGTCAAAGAAATCTTTAACAAAACTGACTTGAGAATCTACCCACTTATTCCTCCATATTCTTTATTCTTGAAACAAAACCCCTTAAGTATCTAGACTTGGCTATCTTACTGTCTTATGTTCATGACCTTTGACAAGTCTTCACTTCTTACTCATTCATTTCTCTGGATGCTGAATTTTCTTTGCCTCACAGAACTGTTGTCTTGAAGGCTGAAATATAACTTGTGGCTCACTTAATATATTGTTTCTTTACATCACAAGGATAGCACTGGATTTATAGTACATGGAACTTAAGCATTTTGTTCAAAATAATCATCTTGGTTATTCAAAATGGGGAGAAAATATTCATTGTTCGATTTACTTATTTCCTATCTTATGAAAGGGATCTGAGTCAGCTTATAGAGATGCATATAAGACAATAAACTATGTCAGGAAAGTAAAGCAAGTGTTAGTTTAAGAAATATGAGAAGTATACAGAGGACAACATGTTACTAGGATATATTTTGCTAGAGATGGACCACAATTAGTTATTAGAACTTAGAACTCTAAATTTTCTATCATCTAATGCAGAGGACAAAACTTCATTTTATGATGAACAGAGATCTCTCACAATAGTAACCCAAGTCAGCAACACAAGCACATTTCTAGTCCAGAGATTGGATCCTGTTGTTCATTACTCAATTTTGTAAAGAATAACAAATACAGAAAAGAGAGACAGCCAAATATCAAAGAACCACTTCTCAGAAAGTTCCACAATGACTTCAACATGGGCATATTAAAGTGCAGTCTGGAAAACCATGCCCATGCAATTGGACCCAGATTTACCACTCTGTGAGACTGGCTATATCCAATAGATGTTCCTGTCCTTGCGACTTGTTTGACTAATTTCACTCATTTGAGCTCAGAAAATATTGCTATTCTTTACCAAGTTTTTGATAAGTGGCAGAAATTGAATGTTAACAATTAACAGCTTCATTAGATTTAAATAACTAACTAAACACGGGTAAGCTTAGGACAATCAGAAAACTACCATATGGCATTTCTCAAGGTCTCCATACTTGGCTCCCACCACTGCTGCAGTAAGCTGTCATTATAGAAGATTCGCTCACCCTATCATCAAAGTTTTGTGTTTAGATGTTCAGTAGAAACTTTGATCTCAGTAGTTACTGCTTAAGAATCCTAAGTTTTCATCGCAACAGTGGAAGGCTGGTTCTAAACAGAGCCCCTGTAACTCAAAAAGTTTTAAGGTTTCAGTGAAAGATAGTATGGATATGTACTTGGACTTCTGAAGGTCGAAGAGAATTATTTCATTTATCCTGATTTAGCTCATGTTACCAGATTTCATAAGACATGTACTATCACTGAATTACTGCTTTGTAAGTTTCCCTGTGTAACTTGAGGGAGAGAGTTCAAGGGGTTTGTGTTCATAAATACAAAAACATCAAAATCTTTATTCTTCTTGTGTTTTACATTTTCATGTGGGTAAATCTGTTTCTGAAAGTTCAATCTAGAAAAGGTTGAGATGGATTAAAGAGGATGCCCCATATAAAACATGGGGATGTGTGTGTAAGATCTTTAATAATGGAGAACTTGGGGGCTGGTTGTCAAAATGAGCCTGCATCTGAAATGATGAAAAAAAGATTTCCTTATGGGGAAACTGTACTAAATGAACATCAGCTAAATGTTTTCTCTTCTACATCTTATCTTTAGAAACCTGTATTTTGGTTGGTTAAACACTGCTTGTTTATTGCTTGTCACTGGTCATCAGGTCTGTGGCTTTTAAGTGACTTACTACTAAACATCACACTAGGAAGAGGATTTGTAGGAATATCCATTTAATGGCAAGGAACAGCTCACAGTTGCAAAACAAGTGGACCAACTTTAAGTTCTGTGGTCCACATAGCTACTGTGAGGGCCCTTATATTTATAATACTGCATCAACTCTCATTATCTGTGCTTTCTTCTGGTGCCTTACAGTTCACCATAGCACCAAATTCCAGTATTTTGCACCAATTTCTCAGTAGGGTGTGTTCAAGTAAGTGAATAATTAATCATTTGAGTAATACAGATAAGCTGTGTTTTTGAGACTTGAGTTATTAAAACTTATGTGTTTGAAATATTAAATTTTGGCAGGATAAACTAAATATTTGAGTGTTACTAAAGTATTATAATTTTGTGCTAAAGAATAATAAAATTATCTATCAGTCTCTTAAAATATATTGTTATGTTCCTAAAGACAGTAGGCTTTTTCTCATAATGATTAAGCTATACCTTTCTAAGATTTTAAAAATAATTGACAAACTTATGAAAGTTAATTCTATGTACTTTTCCCCCTTAATTCTAGTCATGATTTCATTGGTGAATTTACAACAAGCTACAGGGAACTTTCTAGAGGCCAGTCACAATTCAACGTATATGAGGTAAGAGACATTTCCAGTACTGTTTCTTTCTGCATTAATATTTATACTTTAAAAGTATGGATTTTTGCAAAGGATAATTGAAAAAGGGTAAGTACCAATATGTTTTACATATATAATGGATATATAATTTGCATATAATTCCATATATGGTATATATATAAATATAAGAATATATACATTTATTAAACTGACTTATTTCCTAGATTAAATGATGCTATTTCCCTTCAAGTCACACAGTTTATTTTGAGATTTGTAATTCTTGCCTATGAAACTTTTTCTTATTTAAAAAATATTCAATCTGGATGCACATTCATTTTTTCTTAAGCTTCAGCCTCTACGTTTTGCCTTCCTACCACCCTCCTCCCCACCTGCTTCCTAATAATAATAAAAAAAACCCTAAAGTATGCATTTCACTTGTGTGGGCACAGTGTTATGTACAATGAGCGTGGTCTGCTTAGCATGCCTGGGCATCTTAGCTCTTTAGATCCAGACTGAAGGAATGTCAGGACAATAGACAGTCATTAATGAAATCCAAATTTCAAAGCAAGCATGCCAAAGTTAGTTTTGTTTTAAACCACCTTGCCAGTTAATCACCACATCTGTGTTTATCATATGGAATGTTTTAGCACTATTAATCCTTGAGCTTTGGTATCTGTACAATCTCTATAATTTTTTAATTTAATATATGTTGTATGTGGATAGCAAAAGAGAATATCCAATATTTAATCCACAATGGAACTCTTCCCTGCCAGATGACACTAAAGTTGGCTTCTTTTGAGAATGGAGGATTTTCCTTTTATCACTTCTTACTCGGCTAAAGTAGTTGCATCCTATTCATACATCATTCATTCATTAACTTATTAAAATATTAAGTGTCTTCTGTATTGCGCTATGTTAGTATCTGTATCCATTCTGGGAGTGCAGATAGGATGGATAAAGAATTCAGTGTGTAATGGGAGAGGCAAACATAAAATATATTTAGTGTAGCTTGATTTCTTCTCCAAATAGTAGTATACTTATTGGACTATGAAATTATTATAAAGGGGCTAAACTCAGCCCAGGAAAACATCTAAAGACAAAGATGGAGTAATAAATCAATTTCTTCTATCTGGGCCTTTCAAGGAAAGAATGTTAAGACTCTGCAGAGGTAATAGAAGTAAAATATGACACATATTTAAATGTCTGCTTTCTCTGCCAAACTTCGAACCTGAGGCAGAGCAGATATGCTTATCGGTTGTCCTTGCACTTAGGGCTCCTTTGCTACTAGACCCCACCTAGCCCTGCAGAGATCAACCACTTTAATCTTAGCTTACGTATCCTTTCCTGATGTTTTTGGTTTCAGTCAGTTCCCACTCTTTCTTGTCCAACCAAATTTGCTTTAATGAGATGACTAATTGTCATCTGATGAGATGACAAAGAAGCTTAATAAGGATTTTTTAAAATTAAATACTGTGGAAAGATATTTTTGTGTCTTAAGTTCAAATATAAATGTTTTCTTATTGTACTATCAATAGCAGAAGTCCATCAGAAGAATATCACATGGGGCAGGCATATATTACTTACTATGCACTTGTAGTTTTAAGATTTCAGTGGACAAGCCAGGCTTGGTGGTACATGACTTTATCATAGCATTTGGGAAGCTGAGGCAGGAGTATTGCAAGTTTGAGGCCAGCCTGGGCCATAGTCAAAAACCCAAGGACTGAGAATGTAGCTCAGTGGTAGAACACTTACACAAGACCCTGGTTAGATCATCAGCAACTCCAGGAGGAAAAAATCAGTGGACGGCCTTGGACCCAGGCATTGGAAACTTCATGTTCTGCAGTTATGCAAGAGAGTGGTCAAAGCAAGGAAGAGAGTTTTCAACCATTGCTTCTTCACATGTTTTGTCTCTTCTCCCTTTTTTCTACTCCATTGGAGTACATTGCTATGGTTGATGGTGTCCCACAGGTTTCTTAACCTCTGTTTGTTTTTCTTTTTGTTACTCAAAGTAGAAAATCTCAATGGAAAATCTTAGTGGATCTTCAAGATCACTGATTTTTTGTTTTTGTTGTTACCTAATTGTTTTTTGAAACCCTTTTGTGAATTTTTCATTTTAGGTATTCTGGTTAAGTTGTGAATTTCTATTTGGTACTTTAGAATTTACTTGCTGATAGTTTCTGTTTGGTGAGACTTTGTTTCTTTAGTCTTAGTTCTCTAGTCCTTTGAATATGTATATAGTAACTGATTTAAAGACTGCCTACTAAATCTTGTATCTGCAAGTCCCCAGGACAATTTCTACTGACTGCTTTTTCCTATGTATAGGCCATACTTGCTTACTTCTTTGCATATCTTGTATTTCTTATTGTTGTGATTGGATGCTGGAAATTTCAAATAATATAATTAGTAACACTCAAAATCAGATTCCCCACTGTCTGTCCATTTTGTATTTCTGTACTTTAAATTTCAAATGATAACTTCAACAATTTTCCCTTACTGAAAAGCCTAATTATTCCTAAAAAAGGGTAATTTCTGAAGACCATAATTTTGCTCTCACATTTATGGGGGTTGTGAAGTGTGAGGTCAAGGTGCCACCATTGGTGAAGGCTTTCTTGGTGAAGCTTTACCTGGAGGGAGATGGAGATGCAATAGAGAAAGGAGAATCTCTTTCCAATCGTGAAGGTACAGCCATTGACCTAAGAATCTCTTAAATGTCTCCTCCTTAACCCTATAACCCTATCACATTGGCAAAGCCTGAATTTGGGAGAAATACGTCTCAGCCATATTCCCCACTTTTCCCAGAGTTTGTGTTTGTTGCTATTGGTTAAGTGGCACTCACTGATTAATTCTGTGAAGTGTGCTTCCTTTGTTGTGTGGGCCACAGACATTTTTGCTTGGTTAGTTTAGTGACCAGTAGATGATGTGACAGAATTTGTGTGCGTGGGACGTTGCTTTTATGTATACTCCAACAGTGTAAAGCTGTACCTTAGCTTTTACTTGCTCTTTGAGTAAATGAGATCAACTACAGGAAAGCTACCAGGGCTTCCTCATGTCCTTCCTGGCCTTGAACACTTAGCTTCACAAGTGTGTGTCTTCTAGGTCACCAGCAATGGGCCAGAGCTTTAAAAATCTCTCTAAAGAGATCTCATTTCCCTACATCTTCCCTTTTGGTTTCTTTATCAGCTTATTTACCCAACCTTGTATCTTCACCTTTGGTAGATATGCTCTTAAATAATTACCACTGACTATTTTCAATAAATGCCCTGGAGATAAGGCTTTTCCCAGTGAGTCAGGCCAAATATATTCCAACCCCTGTTAATGGGGCTTTTCCAGAGAGCTTTCAAACAAGTCGATTAATGATTATTTCTCTGGAAATGACACCTCTGCTGAACTGCATAACAGTCTGTCCCATTTGGTGGCTTTTAGACTTCTATTTTTTCACAGCTACTGTGATTGCCTGTGTGGCTCATTTTGATTACTACATAGCTGAGGAAAATGACACTGAATACAGGGTGAGTTAAAATGCCACAAAGTGAGATTCAGCCATTTTTCTTGAGTTAGTGCTCCTCAAGACTGGTGCAAGTCTTTGAGATTTTCCAGATTCTTGAAAAATTTGATTTTGATTTCTCATTATCTTTCTGGAGGAGCAAATATTCTGGGGTTGTTACTCCCCTATTCCCAAAGTGCTTCCCTAGTTGATTTTGTAGTGATTTTATATGTAATAATTGCTACTATGTTTTTATATTATATCACTGCAGTATTATTGTTTCATTATAGCAGATGCTTTATTGGTGGTTGAAACTGTCCTGTGTGATTAGATGACAAATCTTTATATAACTTAATCATAAAATCATATAATCTGAGATAATTCCCATGACTACAGTAAGTGATGATGTCCTAGAAGCCAAAAAGATTAATATGAACTGTTTGAAAACTGCTTATGCAATTCTACTGGAAGTTCACTTCTAAAATCCAGGATAAACATTCTCTTCTAAACAAAACACTTAATACTGACTGAATGATTTTGATAGCAAAATGCTAAAATATAAATTTTCAAAAGAAAATTTGTTGAGCTTACTTTTTAACTTTTGGTTGAATTCATGTTATTTCCTGATTTTCCACATACTGCACAGTACTGTGCTCCTCCAATAATTCTGAGGAATGGGAGAATATGTCATACCTTAAGGTCAAATCTGACTTTTCTCTCCCACACATCCTTCTCCAAGTTAATGCCATAACCATTTACTTCATGTGGAAAATGTGTCATTGTGGTGATGATGGCTGACATCCTGACCATTGCAAGATTTTTCATATAAAATACTCTCAAGCAGGACTTGCTGCAATAAATAATAAAAATAATACCATGAACCAATGAGTACACGACTCAGTTTGCATTTTATATTTACTTCCCACACCTACCAAATCCAATTTATTCTGTGTTCAGAATTTTTTTTGGGAGCCCTTCTCAATGGTTACTACTGTATTTAATGCATTATTTCTTGCACCAGTGGCTTAAACTAGGACCCTGAATGTTGCCTACACTCTTCTACTTTCTTTCTTTAAAACTCTATCCTATAGAATGGTTATATCATTCTCCTATTTAAATGTCAATATTAAAAAATAATGCCCAAACTCCCTAAACTAGTATGGAGAATTTAAAAAAAAATTTTTTTTTAGCACTTCTGGGGATTGAACTCAACTCGTATATTCACTATTCTACTGAGTAATATATCCTTGAGAATCTTTTTATTTTTATTTTTTAGGTGGTACTATGTGTTGAACTCAGGGCCTAGAGTTTATGAGGCCAGTTCTTTACCACTTGAGCCATGCCCTAGTTGAGGGTCTTCTTAAGAGGCTTCCACCCACCTTTTCCTCTTTTTATATGCCCTCTACTCCTGCCAGTCTGGGCCAATTTCTTTTTCCTTTAAAATGTTCAATTCAATTTCTTTTTATTGGGGTTGTAGTTTAGATTAATAAATATTAGCTCAGATAACACTTATTCATACATTCTTTTCACTTTTCTTTGCTTTCCAAAAGCTTTCACTGTATTTTCGATTGAGATGACCTGAAGGATCCTGTTTTAAGGCACTCCTGTATTTTATTTACCTTATAGGTTGGTGGATCTCATTCATCCTCATTATCCCTCAGTGTCTTGTATGCATTGCAGCAGTGCAATGGAACAAATAGAAAAACTTCAGTCTTTTGCCCACAAACCAGACTTTTACTAATTACTATGCAGGATTGGGTACCTGGTGCAAACTAAGAATATTGTGAAGTAATAAGTAGATCAGTAGATACAATGCATTTGTTCTAACAAATAAAAATTATATCTCCCAGTTATACTTTTCTTTAGCAACCTTTTATTTTTGGTTTTTGAGACAGTATCTCCTGTGTTAGCTCAGGCTGACCTCGAACTTTCATTTCTTTCTTTGTTTTACTCATGGATTAGATTTTAATATTTACAGGTCCAACTCTTGGGCTGAACTGAATGCATTTTCTTTCTTCTTTGTGCCTGCCCAGTTTTTTTTTAAACTGGAAACACAAACTTCAAATTATTGTATTATATATTGAACCATACTATGATCATTTTTGCTGCTGAGAGATATATATGTCCTTTTTTATGCTATCAGAAACTTCAAGACAAATAAGGTGGTATAAGTATTTGGTTCCAAATTATTGATAAGCAGATTTTTTACAAACAAGATGGTTCCCTTTGCATTTTCTGTAATTTTTACATTTAGAAGCATTTCTTGCTTTCAGAACTTGGGTTCTTAGAGAGAAACAAGAAGAAAAAGCTGGGCTTGGTGGTACGTCTGTAATTCCAGCACTCTAGAGACTGAGGAATTGTCCTTGAACTGCCTATTGTCCTGCTCAGCCGGGATTATCCTATACCACCACACCCACGGCAACCCATGATTTTTCTACAAAGCAATCATTATTTAGCTCATTGGTCTTTCAAATGAAGAAGATACAATAAATATGTAATCAATATATAAAGTGAATGACAGGAATTTTACTAACAAAAAAGATGGTGACTAGAAATTTTTGCAGGGAAGTTGAACCAAATGACTGTCCAAAAGTCACACTGAAAGTACTTGTAAACGAGAATTGATAAGAGGTGAAGGCAGCAAGTTTAATAGCACTCTTTTTAAATTTCAGTATGAGATCTAACATTTCTAATTGTCTTATTTGCTTTTTAAGGTGGTGAATCCCAAAAAGAAAGGAAAAAAGAAAAAATATGTTAATTCTGGAACAGTAAGTCAAATTTAATGTTGTTTGTTATTAATGAATAAAAAATTATATATAATATTTATAATCAGACTGAAAGGAATTAAAAACACTGAGCTTAGTTTTACTTAGGATCTTAATATGAAGATATATAAAAGAACAGTTAACTTTCTGGAGTGATTACAATAGAAGATTCCTTATGGGAAGTCATTGGCTTGGCTTCATGTCCTCTTCCCTGGGGTTTGTAAGGCTACCGTGGGAAGCCACAGTTTGTTATGACCTCTTCATTCAATGGAATCAGCACAAAGGATCAGGCGGACAGGAAGAAGCTCGAGTACTATAGTAAGAAACGCTGTGCTGTTATAGGCTGTACTTGTCTCCTAGGACAGGATGTGAAGATGCTCCTCTATAGTACATTAAAGTGTATAGGTCTATAGGTGCCCGAGGAAGTCAGCGCAGGAGGGTGCAAAGATGAAAGTATCTGAAAATTGTGAAAAGTCAATGTCATCCTATTTTCAAAAAAAAATAATCCTGAAGATTTTTCCTAGGATTAAGTTTCCTTATGAAAAGCAAAATCTTAGTTTTCTTCATTTCCTGTTAAAGGTTGTTATAAAGTGAGTCATTTAAAATATTATCTGGCCTTATTACAGAGCCAGGATAAAAACATACCTTTCTTCTTCTACAACGTAGTTTCCTGATTGCCGTTTCTTAGTTTTAACTATTTTCCGCCTGCCTTTCATCTTTTCTTTTATCTAAACTGGGAAATAACACAGTGTCCTTGTAGATAGTTTTCATGCTGTTCTTCAAAGGAAGCAAAGTGGTCACAGAAAGGAGTTAATTTATTATTTTTTTGGTCCTTGTCTTGATAACTTTAAATGTACAAACAATCAGTCCTAGCATATTCTAATAAATAATAATGCCTTTAGTGATTTTCAAAATGATAGGAATTTTTTTCTCTCTAATTGTTAGAAAAAGTCCCTTTGGATTTATAATTAGAACTGACATGTAATCTGTCTGTCTTTTTCTCCCTCTTTTTTAGGTAACTTTACTTTCTTTCTTGGTAGAAACAGAAGTTTCATTCCTTGACTACATTAAGGGAGGGTAAGTCATTCTTTCAACATTTCTTTGAATGTGTTTAGCAAGTGCCACATGAGGTGCCCAGGCACTGATGATCACTTTGTGTATTTTGATGGCACACCTGCTGTTCTTTTTGTTCCAGACCTAAACAGGAAACCTTACACATGAAGAGCTGTAACTTTTCTCTAAACAAGAGAAAAAAAAATTGGGGGGACAGGGTCTCCCTGTGTAGCCCAAGCTAGCCTCCAACTTGCAGTCTTCGTACCACAACCTCCCCAGTGCTGGAGTTATGATCCTATGCCATCACACCCAGAAGGCTGTTGTCTTTTACCTAACAGTTGAGATTTTTTTGATGTACTTTTAATTACTTTTAAAATATATGAAAGGCTTGAGAGTTTGGCTGAAATATGTATGCTAACTTCAGAATATTAAAGGAATGTATTTTGCCATAAAATTATAATGCAAAAGTGAAAGGTGAATAGTCATTTTGTTGCTCTATTGGCTTCCAGGCGGGGATGCATTTCAGAAAATAAGTAGTTGTTGTAACCAACTACTGCCCTAAGTCGTGACAGATCTTATGTTAATATTACAAGTTCTTATACCCTGGTAAATAGGGACGTCATTCCAATTTTCTATTTTTACCATATTGTTATTTTTCTTACTAACCTGAGTATCCCCAATATTGAAAAAAAACATCCATGGTCTCACAGTCCAAAATAGTCACATATTGTTACGCATTTGCTCTTATTTTGAATACCTAAAAATAATGAGGCAAATGCGATTATATTAATAATGCTATGAACATCAGTTAGAAACATCACTCATGCTGACTTTTCCTAATTATGATTTAGCAGTTCTTCCCCACTACTGATTCACTGACAGAATATCATCAGGCTGAAGAAAGAAACAACAAAATGAAGTTACCAAGGAGCAAAGATACTTTTCCTAAAATACAGAGAGCTCACTCCTATTTAGTACTTGTTGAGAAAATAAAGCAAAGAACAATATCTAGTAAATGAGATGTCTGCCTTGTAGAAGTGTCTTGCAGTCTACCTCCTGAAGCTATGGGGTTGTTTCAATAAAGTTACAGGGAAAAAGTGCTAAGTAGAAAAATTATTTGTCAACTGTTGTGTCTTTCAACATGTGTGCATGTTTTTGTCACTAGAAGATGGAAAAAATAGAAAGCTGAATTTGTCATAATAGATTTTATTACTGTATAGATCATTTTTTAGTAGCTATAGGTAATAGACAATGAAGAAAACAAGTAAGGAAATCAAGATTCTTTATCTCATTCCCTATAATCTTAAAGAAAATTGTGTAATATATCTGGCTGTCTTTTACATGTTGAAATAATGATTTGAAGTTCTGAATTTTATAACTTCCTTTCAGTGTTTATTTTATTTCTTATTTTTCTTTGTGATGTGTGTGTGTGTGTGTGTGTGACATTCTTCTTTTGAAAATCACTAGGGCTAATCACAGCAAATGGGTTTCTACAATACCTAGGACAATGATGTCTTGAGAGTATCACGCCATCCTGCTTTTATGTTGCCTTTGCCTCCTACAAGATTCACTTTTGTAGCTTACACACTTCCTGCTTCCAGCACAGGCAGTGCTGGAAGACATGGTAGAAGTCAGTACATAAATGGAGCCCAGCTGGTGGAGCACACTGTGCTCCAATCCTTACTTCCTAGATTTTAGAAGAACCTGTTTTTGATTTGCTAATGGAGCCTGGGGAAATAGAGCTTGAATTTCATTATATACTTAATCTAACTGAACTTAAATTAATTTCTATAAAATTATACTCAGTATTCCCCCCTTTATCCACAGGGGACATGTTCCAAGATGTTCCATGGGTCCCAGAAACCTATATATCCTATGTTTTTGGTATATATACATACTTATGGTAAATTTTATTTTTTAAGTTTGGAACAGGAAGAGGTTAACAACAAAAATTAATAATAAAATAATAAAATAGAACAATTCCAACAGTATTCTGGAATAAAGTTATTGAAAACTTATGAATTGTTTCTGGGATTTTCCGTGGGTAACTGAACCTGCAGAGTAACCTCACTTGCTAGTAAGGTGGCACAACAGCTCTTGCAAAGAAAAATATTGCTAACATATACCACATTATTTTTATATGAAAATTTATTTAATAAATACTTTTAACATGGATACATTCTTCACTATTTGTAGTGTTTATGAGTAACATACAGAGCTATTACTATATCATGCCTTTGGCAGGGAAATCTGAATCAATAGCAATAACAACTATTTCATATGTGACTTTCTGTGTATTTATGTTTATTCTGAAGGATTTGTTATGAACAAATTAGATACAAGATTTAATTTTGATTTTTATTAATTAAATAGTGAGAACTACTTTATCATGACATTTCCCATTTTATATAAAAGAGATATATATGTCTTTATCTATAGTATATATTTTTATATTATAGATATATGTACTTATATATAACCTAAGATTCCTGGGATTCACGTAAAACTGATGTTCCAGAATTCACTAGTAAAATGATGTAATTCTTAGCCAGGTGTGGTGGCTCAAGCATGCAATCCTAGCTTCTTGGGAGGCAGAAATCTGCAGGATTGCAGTCCAGGCTGGCCTGGTATAGAGTAAGACCTTATCTTAAAAATAATGAAAACAAAATTGTCTGGAGGTGTGGCTCAAGTGGTAGAGCACCTGCCTAACAAACACAGGGTCCTGAATTCAATCCCCCAGTACCACCAAAAAAAAAAAAAGATGTTATTCAGGTAGATCTTCCCAATATTTCATGGCTAAATTATACCTTATTTATTTTTCTTTGCAGAGAAATTATTATTTATAACCTTACAGAAGGCTTTCTCTGACCTAGAAACTTACAGCACCGTGTCATTTGCATTTAATAATAGCTAACATTTGCTGACTACTTTTCCTGTGTGTGGTCCTGAGCTAGGTGCCCTAAGGGAAGCTCTTTCCTTCTCTCCATCACCCCTTGCCCTTCTCTAATGAGCAATATTCATGATATAATATTCTCTTTCCAAAAATAGCTATCATATAGTTCATTTACTTGTAGTGCTTGCTTTTCAGTATTTGAGTTACTAATATATGTATCTTATTGCTACCAGTTGAATTTACATAGCCTGAGAGAAAGTGATGTCTTGGCATGCAGGATATATAAGAATTTTATAGTTAGATATTTATGAAAATTTAAACTTAACTGTAAATTTGGAGACTTGATCAGTATATTGCTTCAGAAAATACCTGATGGACTTTGATTATATAAAACACCAATTAGAGGGCTGGGTTTGGTGGTGCTCATCAATTGTCAGCTACTTGGGAGGCAGAGACAGTAGGATCATAGCTCCAGGCCAGCATGCACAAAAGTTAGTGCATGCCAGAACAAGATGGACATAGTAGGGTATGTGTGTAATCTCAGTTACACACTTAGGAGGTAAGAGGTTGGAGGACCACAGTCTGTGTCCAGTCTAGCAAAAAATGTGAGATCCCATATGAAAAATAAACTGAAAGCAAAAGGACTGGATGTGTGGCTTATGTAGTAGAGTGCTTTCCTAGGGCCCTGAGTTCAGTCCCCAGTACCACATCCACACACAAAGAAATGTTAGAGTTTCTTATTAATTTCTTTTTTATAAATAGTCTCTTTTAATATAAAAATAAGTCGAATGGAAACACCAATATTAAAATCATTATAGAATTATCTGACTACAAACATCTCTTCAAATGTTTCAGGGAATGATTTTTACTTTTCTTGATAGTTTTCTTATATTTTTGTGCTGTGTAGCCCAGGTTGCCCTTGAACCTGCAATCTCCTGCCTGAGCTCCTAAGTGCTAGAGATACAGCTGGGCACCACCAAGCCCAGCTCCTTCAGATTTCTTAACTTGTTTTAGACATTATAATTCTTTTGAGTTTTCTGCCCTTACTTTTAAGAAACCTCAGTTTCCAAGTACATAAAGGAACTGCACTGATTGGAAAACATATAAAAGCATTACTAATTACATCAAAGTTTCAGAAAAATAGTAATTTTGAATAAAATGAATTGCACTCATTTCAAATTAGAACTAATTGTAAGAGTTGGCAATTGATTATGTATCATTTCAACAATGACTTTTGACTTGTGGATGACATCAGATATTGTTCATAGACATCTGACATAATAGACTTCTAGATTTTTGAAACTAATAAGAATTCTGAAAACTTTAATATTTCATTGGTGTTTATATGCTTCATAACATTTTTTCTGAAAGCATAGAATGCTTTCATTTTATTTTATTTTTGTTTACTTTCAGGTGTTTTGGAAATGAGTATTATGACTCTTAAGTTTTAAAACTATATTTTAAAACATCTGTATATTTTTTCTTACACATTGTAAAGATACTGGTAAAATGAAAAGTTAGGAAAATGGGAAGTATTTAATATTAAGTTACAATCTCCCATAATTATCCTATAACTCAGGGATAATGACTGTCAGAAACTTGGTACATATTCTTCCCTGTTTCTTTAATCGTGGAATATGCACAGTATTCTTCATGGTATGTTTTCTTGATTAAAAATATTGTCATATATATTCCTTATTTTAACAGATTTCCATTTTATGGTTATGGATAATTTAGTTTAAAAATCTCCTGTTGATACGTACTTTCATTACATCCACTTTTAAAAATTAAGCACTAAGCTACAATGTGAAACCCAGGTGCACAGCATTTTATGCACTTCATTAACCATTTCTTCAGAATCATTGACTAAAAACAAAGTTGGATTCAATAGTATGTTTATTTAACAGTTTTCTATGAACATCTTAATTGTAGCACTAAAAGGCTGTAATTACATGAATGTTTACCATATCCTTACCATTACTGAATGGTGTCCCTCATTTTTACTTTTGCTCATTTAATAGATAAATATTATAAGTCATTTTGTCTGTTTTCATTTCTTAGCCAGTTTCATACTGTTTTTAAAAGGCCATGTTAACTAGCTGTGTCTTTGAAAACACAACTTTTAGGAATT